GAAACACAATGCCAAAGTAATCTACGTAAGAAGTTTGCACAGCAGATTTGAAAGGCAATGTCTTTGGTAATACCTGATATAATCACGCAAACAAAAAAGTCATAAACAGTAGTACATTCTTATCTAGAACATGCATCCAAATCTCAAACTCACTCAAAGTAGTGTTAGACAATGTTCGATTAATACATTTAGTCATATAAGGAGTGGTAACCAAGTAACCAAGAAGGATGTTAGTATTACAGCTGTACATGATATATAAAACAAGTTTGTGCAACTGTGCAACTCTCGACATTCAAAGATGATACTGAAATAGGCCTATAATTTCAACAAGACACACAGGTAGGTGTTATTGCCATGGAATCAGGGGAACCAACAAATCTCTAATGAATCAGAAGGATGGATTCCGTTAGCACTTGTTTTGTCCAGGCGGTGGCTGGTGCTGGTGTCGAAGAGATCATCTACCAACTATTGGGTCACTGTCCTGCTCCTACAGGTTGAGGTTCAGTGTCTATGGACGGAGGCCCTCGAGTCAAACATGATGGCTTCACGAAGACGCCATGACCTGTGGCACATCGGAAATACACCCTTCCTTGGACCGTACCGTTGTGCTTGCCTTTGGAAGGACAAGAAAGGTTTAAGGTTACAAGGAATTGAGTTGGGATTCAGCAACAAAGAGCAAGAAAGGGAAGAGTTCACTTACCTACAGCAAGGTCCAACTCTACGCCAACCCAGATGCCTTTGGCAAACTCTACCCCTCCAACGTAATGCACAGTCCCACTCCGTTTGCCCACCCAAACTTGCTCACCGGGGGCCATCCAGTCTGGCAACTGAGCAACTGGTCTGTTCTCGTCCTTACAAGAGTCTGCCAAAGGTTCTGCATCCTCAAAGGACTCAAGTCCTTGAGTTGCTTCCAGTTGTGGCTTGGCATGAGGTACTGGGATACTGGGAGACTCTTTCCCATTGTGGAGATGGAACTGGGGTGGGGGATCCATGCCTTGGGTTTTGGCTTGGGGAATCGAGTCTGCCTTCCATCCAATGCTACCAAGATCTTCTCTTATGCTATGACCTACACCTTTTAAGTCTGGTGGAATGGATTCTGCTTTCCAACTGATGTTACTGAGGTCTTCTTCTCCTACACTATCATCTCCACCCTTAAATTTTGGAAGAATCGATTCCGCCTTCCATTTAATGTTACCAAGGTCGTCTTTTACGCCATGATCTACACCCTTAAGGTCTGGAGACATCGATTCCACCTTCCATTTGATGTTACCGAGGTCTTCTTCTCCTACGCCATCATCTACACCCTTTAAGTAATTGGGAATCAATTCTGCCTTCCATCCAAT